CCCACAGCGTGGCCCCTCCACCCGCATCCCCCCACCGCTCCTGCCCTCCCCACACCACCTCCTCTTCCAGTTTGCTTTAATACAAGTGTGATTTACTGGCGATGATCGGTGCACAGGAATAGTGGGTATGATACAGCCTTGCAGAGTCCCCAGAATATTGCTTTAACTTTGGGAGAAAAAAACCAAACCAACGAACCAAACATAAAGAGGTGGGAGCAAGACAGGAGAAAAACCAGATGGAGGGAGCAGGGCCCCAGCTGGAGGTCTGGGTCCCAGAGGTGCTCAAGGGCTGGAAGTCCCTGCTCTGGTGCTGGTGGCACAGGGGGGCGATGGACAAACCGCAGGGGGGGGCCGGACAGACCTACCATCTTTAAAATAAATAAGGCTAAGACTTCAGGCTACTGGCTCAGCCGGCTGGGGTTGGTGCAACTGTTCTAGTCTGTATTAGTGTTCACAATTCCCTGCCTGCCCGCTGCCAAGTGGCTTTGGGGAGTTCGCAGGCAGGACATAATGCCCAACGCTGGCCAAGGAGTTTCAGGTCAATCCTTATGTCCCCACAAAGACACCTGTAGGTTGGCCCAGGCTAGACGCAGTCCGCTGCCCCAGCCCAGGGCAAGAGAAGGCAAAAACACGCTACAAATAGATCTGCTACTCGCTCCCCGCCCGCACTCACTGGGGTGGTAGAGCTGGACCCAAAAGGCAGGGCCAGCCCCCACAGCCGAGGCCACAACAGCTTTTCCCATCCCTGCTCACATATTCCCTTGTGCCCAGCCCAAGGCTGGCAGGAGAGGGTGATGCCAGAGCTGCCACAGGGCCAGGAGCAGTCAGAGAGCCCCTGCCTTGAGCGGGAGCCCTGGCTGGGGCACTGTGAGCCCTGGGACCTCTGTGTGAGAACAGTTCATCTGGCAAGACAGGCATCCAGTTCACAAAACGAGGCTCAGAAACAGTCGTTCCTGCTCTCAGCACAGGCAAACGCACTTCCAGTGGCGTTAGCTGACAAACTGGGACATCCTTCTCCTGCCTCAGGATCACGCGTGGCGAGGCTGGGATGGCAAGATAAGCTAGGGAACAAATACAGTAGAGACTTCAGCCAGCCCCTTCCTAATTCTAGGCAGATTATTTTAGGAAGCTTTTTCACATTGTAACTCATATATTATATCTGTACCACAACTGAAGTGTGAAGATGCTAAATCAGAATTAATGCAATTTTAACTGCACCTTAGATAAGCTACTGAAAAATAAGATTAAATCATATATCCTTACGAAACTAAAAGAATCAGTGAAAGGTGGGAGAGAGGTCAGAGGCCACACTGGGCCAAGTCCTGCAAAACCTTTGAACTGCAGACAAGATCCGATCTTTGCAGCGATTGCCTGCAAGGATGACTCTTGCCTGAGGCGATGGCCGGGCTCTCTGGGCAGCCCCCGTTCACACCAGGTAACCGGGCGGCTGTTTGTGCCGCTCACGAAGGCCTCGGCACGCTGCAGCCCACACACGGCCACCGAGGGTTAGACAACACAGCCAAACCAGGTGGCACGTTAAGGACAGAAAAAGATTTGATGCAGATAAAGGGAAGTGGGAGGTTTCAAGAAATTCTTCCTTTCGAGAAACCCCGATAAATCTAAGCTTATTCAAACAATATGGAGCAAATGCAATCAGCCGACTCTCTGTACTGCACAGCCGTGACTTGTGCCAGCAAACCAGCTTCACCCTTGGTAGTCTTCTCCTTTCCCACAGGTTTTGCTCGATCCAGAGAACAGCATGGTTAAAAAGACAAGAGAGGTAGATTACAGTCATGATTAAAAGCAGATTAGTCATCTAGGCTTCGATTTAAAAAACAGATTCCAGAAGATGCCAAGAGGTTGCTGCTTCCAAAACTAGCTTTTTCAAAAGTCTTCTCCCTCCAGAGCGAGTGTGAGTGCGTGTCCCTGAACAGAGCTCAGAAGAATTGCTACATTATTCTCCATCATGGGACACCGGTATTGCTGTTGAGCTGTAGTAGGCGACGTGAAAGGCAGACCGCAGGATGGTGCTTGTGCTCTCGGATGTGTGGGAAGCTACTTCCGAAGGTACCTCTGGGCCAGGATAGCTGCGTCCAAAGGGTTCATGGGCTGGGCATCGTGGCCCAGGCGTCGCACTGGGGGGATGTTCCCAAACTGCCGCTTCTGTAGGAAGCTCTTGGCCTCATGCAAGGTGTTCTTCTCCTCAGCCAAGAGCAGCTGCTGCCTCATGTAGTTCTCGAACTCGTACTGCGAGCACTCCTCCGTCACCTTCACCTGCCAGAGAACCACCCTGTCAGAGCCACAGCAACAGGCAAGGGTCCCACATCTCCCCTCTGATGGTCCTGAGCTACCACAGGATAACTGGAGTCTTAACACAGGAACTGGACCTGCTGCCAGACATACAAGCAGGGCTCCCATGAATCGTTAGTGCCACCAGGAACAGAGGTCTGGAAACCTCAGCGGCTCCGTCCTGATGCAGCTCATCCCAACCCTGCCAGATATTCAGAGGCTGCAGCTGCCTGACCCCAGTTCTCACATCCCCCCGAGCCTTGGGGAGGGATTTGATGGCAACATCGACTGCAGCATCACAGGCAAAAGCTCCTACACAAGGCTGTCCCTAGGCAGTGAGGTCACCGGCCATCACTTCCAACATTAAATACACTGGCAAGAAAACAGGATGTTCGCTCCCATCTCATAACTCACCAGGGAGCCTGAGCCAACACCGCTACCTCTTCCCAGCTCTCCCAGTGTGTGCGAGCTCTCAGCTGTGTGCGAGGGAGTGAGCGCTGCTCAGGGAGGAGCGAGCTGCCCCTCAGCGAGCTCACTTCGAGGCAGCACAGCCAGCTGGATGTGACTCCTGGTCCCAGCAGCACGAGACTTTCCTTCCACCGCACAAGACAGCGATGGACTCAGCTGCCTCGTAGAGCAGTGGCCACAGCTGGGTCCTCAGCACCCTCCCCTCCCCAGCTCAGGGGCCACAAGGGGCTGTCATCTCCTTCCATTACAGACAGACTTGGCACAGTGGCACAGAAAAGCAGTTCCACGGAAAGGAAAGTAGGAAAACCTACCTCTTGGGGGTTTTCAGGGTTAGCCACTTGGTCATCGATGTCTGGGACCACTTGCAAAGGGCCACTCAGCGAGGACATAGACTGCCTGGGGGAGACCACAGCGTCAGTGATTTGGAGCACAGCACCAGCTCACCCAACACCCTGGCCAGGGCAATCCTGCCCAGCTGGCCATGGCTGGACAACAGAGTCCAGTACAGCACCATCTGGATGCCCCACTGGCTACTGCTACTAAAGGACACTGTTCAAAATTCAATTTCCCTGGTATGAAATCATGTTATAATCCCCAGAGCTGCTTTTTTTTTTTTTTAAAAAAACAGGATGTGGAACTCTAACTCTTGCATAGGTAGGAGAGAAAACAGCCACAGCTCCAAAAATCACAGACTTCACTGCTGACTCAACAGACAGCACGAGAACTTTGCCTGGGCATGCTGTGCAGCACAGACAGAAGGTCATGGGGCTGACAAGGGAGGGCTGCACCAAGCAAACAGCACCAGGATGCATTTCTGCTGGAGTGTGCTACTGGAATCTCATCCCAGTTGGTTCATGCCGGTCTTGGAGTCAGATTTACCCTCAAAAGGCATCCTCACCCCGCACGTGTAGAGTTCCCACCTGTAATGGCATCTCCTGCTATTCTCTAGAAATCTCATGCCTGCTTTTACTTAACAGACAATGCAGTGCTAATTACAAGCTTGCAGGACGTGTCTCCATTTGGCTGCATCTGTTTGTACATCTAAGATATCCCTGACCATTAGACTTTCTTTAAAAATCAAATCGGGGGAGTACAAGGGGGACACAGCAGCAAAGGCCCTCCTGTACCCTTGAACTGTTTTGTAAAGCTTTACAGGCTCCAACCTTGGTCACAATGACAAGCATGGGTACAGGCCACTCTGGCTGCATCCGTCAGACACCAGTGGTTGAGACACCAGATTTAAAGACTTTTTTGTAGTTCTCACAGATCATCCTCTGGTGTCCTGCTTGGCAGCAGTCTGATGGCTGCAGCTGGAATAACACAGCCTGTGGCCAGAGACGTCATGTTCCTGTCTCTCTCCTCTTACACATACCATGATGCTATGATGGAGCTGAGAGAATCCAGCACTTCAGAAGCTGTCAGACGCTGCTGCGGATCCAAGACGAGCAGTTTTCGGATCAAGCACACAGTGTTTTCTGAGACTCGTCCATCCCTGGGAGAGAGAGCGTGTGGTGAGCCTGAGTGCCCGAGGTGGGCAGAGGCGGCAGCAGGATGGACATGCTGGGAGCACAGGTCAGGAACCAGAGGAGTCACCATTGCTAGGACTGAGAAACCCCAGAATTAACCAGGAGGTTGATTCTCTGTGGCTGCAGCACAGGGCCTTTCTTGCTTTTGCACAAGATGTCCCAGGTCCGCTACTACTTCCTTGGCGTCTACTGCATACAGTCTTTGTTCTCATTACTGCTGTGACCCTCAGAGGCTTTAAGTGAAGCCCCTCCAGCTCTGGCTGTCCCCAGTAAGGCCCAGAGCACCACCTGCACAGGCATTAAGAGAAGGGCCTGCCTGGGACAGGCTGTACTCACTCGGGGATGGTGTACTCGGCAGCCTTGATTTTGCGGAAAAGCTCCTGAGGTATGCTGTCGTAGAAGGGGAACTGGCCATAGAGCATGGTGAAGAGCACCACACCCAACGCCCACATGTCACTGGGTTTTCCACGGTACGGCCGTCCTGCAGGGAGCAAGGAGACATAAAAGCAACAGGCTTTACAACATGGCTAACCTCTGTGGCCCATCACCAGCAGTAAAGGCACTGAAATAAGCTCTGCATGTGATCCTTTCTTCTAAGCATTAATCAAACTGCTCAAGACTTCCTATCGCAAGACACTAAGAAACTCTTTCAAAGGTGCATCCTTTATGAACAAGCAAATTGTTCATCTCCACACAAGTGTCTTCCCTTTTGCTACAGAGCAGGGCTATCCCTGCTGAATGGCCTTGACGTGATCCAAGAGCACCAAGGAATCAGAACCACTGCGTACTGTGCTGGAGTTCCCACTTCACTCCCCTTCGCCATCCCTGCAGACCATCACCGCCAGAAGCCCCTGAGCCTCGCAGGCTCCACAGCTGCGCTCTGCTGCAAGTCCAGGTCAAAGGAGAAGGGAATTTAAGGGCCAGTGAGCACAAGGCAGGGGGGAGGCAGGAAAGAAAGCCCAAGAAGCATAAGTGCTCTTCTAGTGAAGAGTGGCCCAGGATTAATGCCAACCTCACTGCCCCAGCTGCACAGGGGATCTGAGTGGAAGTGCAGACTAAGACTCTCCACACCTGGCTCAGATTGAACCCATCAAGATGGGACTCTGCCTCCGGGACAGATCCAGCACACAGCCACTGGGGCCTGCCGTGAAGCCGGAAAAAGCACAGGAAGGTCCCTTCCCTGCATGTAGACATTCCCAAAAGCCGCTGCAGCCCCAGCACACCCTGGGACTTGCTTGATGGAAACGCTGCTTTAAAGCCCTTTCAATCGCACAATAAGTCAGCAAACTGCAGCAGGCACGAGGGTCAAAAAATTAAACTCCAATGCTGTACCACAGCATAGGACTGAGGGAATGACTTCCTCTGACTCATGCAGTGAGTCACTGTTGCAGCATTTGTTATTTGTACTAATTATTCTTTGCTTTATATGCTCAAAAAAAGGCACCTCTCCCTCCTCCTCCAGCTTTTCCTGCTGTGACATTTCAGCAGCCATAAAACGCAAGCCATCTCTTAGCAGAAGACAGCTTCTCTTGGAGACCTAAAACAATGATTAATTCTTCAGGCATTTTAGCTTCCTCTTGTACAGTAGCATTAGCAACACAGACAGAGGGATGCTCAGAGTCTGAAGGTGGTGGTGAAGGCTGGAACGTCCTCAAGTAACTTTTCCCTCAATTCTTGGAGGGGAATGGCAGACAGCCATTCTGGAACAGCGTTTTTAAGAGCCCAGGATCAGGCCGCACCAATGCCCTGCAGGGAAGGGCTATTCACAGAGACATCAGAGCCAGGGCGCAGTGCAATTGCACCCAAAGGTCAGACCAGGCAGTGCTACAGCAGTATGCAGTCCTGTAACAAAGGCTGCATCTTGCAGGGTCTCGAACAGCCTTGGCCATCGGAGAAGTCAGCAAGGACAGCCTGGTCAGTGCCTTGTGGCGTGTGGCCTACAGACAGGCCAGTCAATCCTCCAACAAGACAGCCGTTAGAAGAAACGCAGGTGCTTGCAGCTGAGCTGTGCTGGCAGGGAGAGTAACAGGGCTGAAGCTCAGGACAGAACAGTACCCGGGATGAGCGGGAAGGAGCAGCTCTATGCAGCCTTTACCAGACACCAGCCACTTGAGCTGTAACTGCTCCAAGCTCCTGCAGAGCAGCTGGCTCATATCATCCATCTGGTTACAGGGGCCTCAGGATATCCTGCAGAACAGGAAAGGCCTGCAAAAACCACATGTTGCACCTCCCCGCCTGCCTCTGCTCCCTTCCTGGCTTAGTCCTGCCCAGGAGGGAAGCAGCCTCAAACCTGCTTGGCAGATCACGAAGGAAGAGCTCAGCTACATTTATTGCTGCTGCCTGCAAACCTGACAGCAAACTTACTGAGCGGAGTCCACTGGGTCTGGAAATTTCAGGACTAGCTCCCTCTGAGGGCATTTCTGAAATACAATAGCTCAGGATACCATAACCAAATGACTCAAACCTTCAAGCACAGGTGTTTTCAGTGTTCTAGATGTTATCCTCACATAAAGAAAGGTGATAGACTGGCAAGGATTCTGGCTTTCACGCTAGCTATACGCACACCAGCAAGTAGTGCTGCCCAACGTACTGCCGACTTGTCCGGAACACAGTTGGTGCTGATGACCTACTGTCTGCAGTTTCAGGCAGCTTCCCATCATCCAAACGCTAGCTGGGCCCTGCGGGCAGATAACCCTTAGGCAGGTGGGATGCATTAGGGGCGATCTTGGACTGCAATGTGCAGTTCAGCTTCATCCAAAAGGAATTTTATCTGTGCTCACCGGGAGTACTCTGCAACATGAGCTAATGCACGATAACTGGAGTCTAAATAGAGAGATGCTTCATATGCACAGTCCAAGCTGTAAATGCACCCTTCAACACTAGTCCAGCTCACCTGTATGAGAAGGAAAAGCCCCACAACAAAACCCCCTAAAAACGATGCCTCGGTCACTATGCTGACAAACAGGACCACCACTGCCTGCTCAGCTATTGCCAGCACAAAAGCTAGTACAGTAGCAGATCTTTGACCTTGTAGAAGAGAAATCTGAAGCAACTAAACAGACACAAACCACATCTGTTTCTGAAAGTCCCATGCACTGGAAACAGTTAAAAGGCAGGAGGACATAAGGGAAAGCTGCTCTTTGCCAGAATCCTGCTTAAGGCCTCTGCTGGAGACAAGGCATAGGCCAGACTGCTGGAGACAAGATAAAGCCCAAACAGACTGCTGGTCTGGCCTGGTGTCATCATTCCTTTATTTTTAAGTAACTCCTCTCAATCGGCCCAGAAGCTGCCCAGAGGGTCAACAGTTCCCTTCTGGAAGCAAGTAGCAGCTGCAGCAACTGCTCCGCTTAGTGTACGGCCTGGAATAAACAGACATTACGGTGGGATTTGGACTGAATGCCTCTTCGGCCTAGGGATTTACCTGCAGCTTAAGTGAAGCCTCAGGAACAAGATTCAGACATGGGAAACGGAACATCTTGTCTGCAGTCAGACTTATATGGGAACAGGCAGAGAGCTTTCAATTAGCTTTGAAGTTCAGACTAGCCTTAAGAAAAAAAGTTAGACTTGCTTCTTCCCTCCATACTTTCCCAGCTGGAAAAAACAGACCAAGCCTCATAACTGCACCCTAATTAAGAGGCTCTCACAGAAGGCAGGTTACATATGGGAACAGAACTATGTGGTTTTCATGTATTGTCAAGAGCCACGAATAAATGAAACAAGTGTTAAGTATGGGGGGCTGTGAACTCCCACCGAGGGCTGAAGGGGATTGCCTACCGCTAAGCACATCTGGGCTGATGTAGGCAGGGCTCCCTCGCTGGTCTTTCAGCAGGTCATCTTCACTCACCAGGTGCTTTCCGAGACAGAAGTTTGTTATGGTTATTCGATGAGTCCTGGGGAGAATCAGAAGGCATCAGTGAACAAGGACCATCCTGCGTAAGCCAAACAGCACGAGCAGAAGAAGCGAACACGAAACCAGAGGTGTGTGTCTGCGGGGCTTTTTGGGAAGCTTGAAGTGCTGGGAAAAGACAAGTGTGGCTGTAAGATCAACTCCATCCCAAAGGGGAGGGATTCCACACCTGTCAGCATGGCTTGCAAGACTCTTACAGGGGGAAATAGAGAATCTCCTTTACAGTTATAGACAAGGTCTACATCCAACCTGAGTGGCATGTGTAAGTGTGGCTGTAAGCACAGGTGCTCATGTAACTTGCACACCTTGCAGCCACACAGTTGCCTTTTGGCCAGCCTCCCAGGAGCATCCTAGCCAGCAGCACAGCATCCTGCAGGCATCAGCAGCACCAGGATCTGCAGCTGTGTGCCTGCTGACCATTGTAGGGAATGAGTGTAAACACAGTAGTAGTTTATTTTAACTGCTGATTCTCCCCTATGCTTCCCAACTACCATCTCTAAAAGCATGTTCTCCACACAACATCTTCTGGAAGCTGACGGAAAATACCTTACAGAAGGACTGCCTCACGCCTGGCCTCCCTGCACCGTTTGCTTAGAAGATGAGCTACAGGACCTTTGATCAGATTCAGTACAGTCACACCTGCATTACCCAAGAGTCCCACAGCAGGAGTCTGGTGACAGTTTTGCCTGATCTGCAGGACTGTTCTTCACACGCAAGTACGCAGAACAGAGAAAGTCTAATCAACATCCAAAAAACCTCCTACGGAAAAGGTGAGAACTGCAGGTACAGAGAATTTCTCTATTAAGATATCCCTACTTCCCTATGGTACTACCAGCTCCAATTAATGAATTTTTCCAGGGAAAGTCAGCTCATTACAAAACTACTATCACATTAAATCTTCCATGTCACTCAGATAATTTGGATTTTAACATACAACTTAAAGGACTGAGTAGAAAAACACTGTCTAGAAGATTTCTATATTCTTGAAAAATATTATACAACTAGAGCCTGAGAAAATGAATTAAGTCAGTCACAATAACCAAGAAATACTTCCAGCAAGTCTAATAGGCAAGTGAAATAAAACCAAGTGTGGGTTGGCAAAGGAGAGTTGATTATTAAGAAAGACAGACTTGTGTTTAAGAAGTGTTAGCTTCAACTGTCAAGAGATTTCCCTGGCTGAATAACAATCTGCAGGATTTGTTAAGGATTTAAAAGACTAAGTGTTCTAAAGGACATCAAAATGTTCAGGGTTGCTAGGTTTTATTTAGTCACTGAAATGTGATCTAATCTGTAATCATCCAACTCCTGCACTGGCTAATTGGAAAATTTGCAAGGCTTTAACGTCCGCATCTCGCAGGGGACAATGTCTGAGGGACCCTCACTAGCCCGGGGTGTAACATGCCTGGTTAGGACTTTGCAGTGATATGTAACTACCTTCGTTTCTCCGTCAACAGAAAAGACCTGGCTTTTTTGTGAACGCGGCTGGAACAGAACATTTCTGATCAGCCCAAATGGCTGGTCCTCTCCATGGTGATCTATTCTTACTCCTCACCCACCCTTTCATATGACTCACTGCTGTAGAGGCTCCAGTTTTTCCTCACCAAAGCTGATGGTCTTGCTAGTAAAAAGCAAAACATAGTATGTAAAACAAAGAATTACTTTGGCAAGCGTGTTCACAAAGTTTCAAATACCTCCCCCTTCCTGCTAGTAGGGGCCCCTGTGTGCAGCTCCATCAGTGGGATGCTCCACTGCACACTTGAACCACAAAAGAAGGGAAGCTCTGGGTGGATCCTTTAAAGCAGCAATCTTTGTCTGCCTCTTCCTAGCAAGGAGAATCAAAGAAGCAAGCAGAAGACAAGAGAATTATCTTAAAGTAGCTCTACAGAAATGACTTAAAACAATTGACAGGTGGCCCTGAAAAGCACTAGCTTGCTCTGTACATGAGGGGAATCAAGAATTTCAACCTCAGTAGGTAAAATGTGTTTGCTTTCAGACAGCATTAGGGAGGAAAAAAAAGCAAGCTGTGACCACAGTGAACCTGCATGCTTTGTACAGACTCGGAAAGCCTGCAGACCTAAAGCCTTCCAGATCTTTCTTTATTTCACAGAAAACCAGACAGTGTGAAAAGACAATGAATTCCACTCATTCTTAAAGTTAGTGCAAAATACTTAATAAAGTAATACTGAAGGACACAGCAGAATATCTGAATTGGAACTAGCTTGCCAACTAAACAACTGCATAATCGAAGACAACTAAAAAACTCCAAGGAGCCACCAAGCAAAGCGCATGCTACCACCAGCTGCCTCTCCCTCCTGCTGA